GCCAGCTATACAAAATTGATCAAAAACCGAAATATAGGTGAAACAACCAGAAGTGAACGTTAGAATGAAAGTGGATCTTCTAAAATTCTAATTGGACATTGGATATTGAAGCGCAAACTATGTCAGTTGCGTTACTTAAGTTGTTTCCCCTAAGGCAATGGGTTTTTTTTAGTGAGGTCCATGGATTTTAAAGGCTTAACCTTTATTGATTACTATTTTTAAGCCAATTCATGTTGATCGATAACTCAGGCTATTAAGTTTATTGCTTGTTTTGGAGGGTGGAATTCTTGTTGTGCTTCCTTATTAAGTCCATTCACTAAGATGTCCTCCATCAATAACTACACCGTTTTCTGGTTTACTAATACCAAGTGTAATAAATTTAACTCTAAGCGTTTTTGGATTTTGATTACTGTATGATATGATTATCCGACCCCATCAATTATTGGCAAGTTCCTATGATAAATGTTACGCAAACCCTGAATTTTCACTCGTCTAGAGTTTTTTCAAAAAACTAGCTTGATAAGCTCAATGATTACTTGGCGTTTTCTTGAAATTTAAGGTGGCAGGAAAACCACGGATTTGTAAATGACTGGAATTTCGGGCGTTTTTGTCGCGTGTCCCCGAAATTCATCATCAGAACTCCCTCAAAATTTATAAAATTACCCTAGCCTATCCTTAAGATAATATTGAGAGTTGCAGTTTGGACTGATACTTGGTAATCAAGCATTTTTTTATCAATGGCGTAGGCTGCAAATTTTTGAAATGGAGCGCAACTCCGTTCGCTACCGAAACAGCAATAGGTGATGGAGACTGTTATTCATTGTTAATAAATTGGTGTTATAAACCTCCAATCTGTTCATTATTTTCAGACAATGAGTTTTTTGTTGTATAAAAAATCATAATATTATTATCGATAGATTGTTGTTAGCCGTTTCATCAACTATTATTTCCATATATGTTTGATAGGTATGTATACCATTTTCGAGTAGTTGGCGTACTATTTGTATCAAATCTCTCTAAGGAAAACGGTTTGACCTTTAAGTTCTTTTGTACTGTGTTAGTGGGTACGGAGAGAAAATGAAAAACCTTGGTTTAAAATAGTGCACATGATCCCGCACTAACAGCGTACGAACGTACCTTCGGTTACCAGCTGCCGTAGGTCTGCATCTCCTAACATTTAGCCTTGCGGATTAGACCCTTCAGCGAAGGCTCGGAGAGTGACCCTGTAAGTAAATCTGCCTAGTTTTTGGAGTTCGGACAATATCCCAGCCGCTCAGTTTAGTAATTTATGTGGCACGTAGATATTTGGGTGACACTTTGCACTTTAATTTGCTCAAATAAATAAAGACAGTACCCGTAACTGAAAAAGGACACTGGACTTGATGTAATCAGTACATGTGACATCTCACCATAAGCTCCCAGTTAATCTTTAATATTTAAGTAAAAATCCTTTAGTATGTTTGTTTACTTTTCGGCAGCCTGAAAGCGACAAATTCTCAACGAAATCAAATACGAACATTCTTAATTAAGAAGCCACAGGTGTGCGTCACTATGTACGTATAAGTCCTAAAAACTGAAAAGTATGCTTCTGAACAATATGTTTCGGGACATGATTAAAATCTGCTTTGCTTTCTCGGATTCTTATGAAAGCTAGTAATTTTGTAGACAGTTGTAAGGTCAGTTGAAGTATTATCCGAGCTTTCTGGTCACCGTTCCAAATCTCTGGTCTGAAAGTAAACCACGAAAATAAAGCTTAGCTGACCGTTTTTTTACTCTGTCTCTTCGGTGAATAAATGTGTGACCTTCATTGTTGTTGCTGCCTTTTTTAATCTCTCTTGATTTCGTTGTCCTTCACTGCTCTCAGTCATTTGTAAACTTTCTATCCATCTACCCTTGAGTTGTATCTGCTCATTTACATGTGCGGAGCATTAAAATCAATTATGAAGCCCATGTATAGTATATGCTAAGAAAATCCACTTGTCTCTCTTGTTCTCAGGTTGCTGTTATGCACTACTTTCTACAGTAGACTACAGAACATGCCATGCTACTCCAGAATGTTCACTTTCTCATCGCTGTACCTATTTCATGTTTAAGCAAACTTTCCACAGTTTCATACTGAGTCTGAGTAACTCTTCAAACCAAATTTTTCGCGTCTAGTAAATTGCAGACAAATGTATCCTCAACGTTTGTGAATCAACAACTAGTCACTTGCTTCAAAAGGTGTATACATCGATCAGACAAATAACTTAAATCTCAATAGTTCGTTTTACTGTTTGATAATTAATCGAGAGGATCTAACCAAGGAATTTGTTGTCTTAAGGTGTAAACAATTGCAAATCCCTCAGAAAAAGACAGTGCTCAGCTATCAAAACAAAGTTGAGAACCTGTTTTATCCACAGTCTCTACTGTTACAGTAGTCGATCTTCAGGTTTGACCCCACTTCAACTGGATTTTGACTACTGAGTTGCGTCATTAGTCTACACACAGACTGTAACCTTAGTCAAAATACCAAAGGCACTACACAATAAATAGGATTAATTTTATGAGTCTACTGCACAGCAGTTCGCTCCGTCCTACTATATGGCTGTGAAACATGGCCAGTAAGAGTAGAAGATATTCGTAGATTATTGCTTTCCATTCATAGTTGTCCTCGAAGCATTGCTCGTTTATCCTGCGACAGTGGAGTAAGCAATACTGTCGTTAGGAAATAAGTGCTAGGTAGCAATGGCAAATCGATAGATGGATCATTGAAACTTCATCAGTTGAGATGGTTAGGACATGTGTTTCGAATGCCCAAACACTGACTGCCTCGACGAGCTATGTTTTGTGATGTAGGGTTAGGTTGGAAGAATGCTAGAGGCGGCCAAATATCAGCCTGCGCCTAAGCTGACTTCGCTCCTCATCGTACTCAGAGCCAGACGGTTTGAGTTTCCAAGCATCTATCAGTTGCGTAGATGCTACTGAGATCCACAGCTTATCCCTAACCTTAAGGTTTACCTTGTTAGCAGATATCACAGCGGTTTCTACAGACTTTCGGGTATCGTTCCAAGCTGCCTCGGGGCGGGAATCATTTATATGGCTCCTGAAATATATTCCTAGTTTTGCTGTCACTAGGTGGGACCCTATGAGGTTTCAGTGCGGTGTCATTCCTACGTCCGGTAAGCCGAAAACAAATATGCGCTCTCCCTAAAGCATGGTCTGAATCTAAACATGTGCTCGGGAACGAACAATAGTCCCTATTGGACCTCTCCATCGGTGGCTGATACAGATATGATCTAGTTGTGTCCAGCGTTGGAAAACTTTAGGGGTTGCTTTGTCGAAAGATGTTTTTCCTTGTGCTTAAAGTTAGTATTTGCTAGGAATAGGCGCTTATCTGAACATAGAAGCAGCAGACGGTTGCCACTATCTGTTCGAACAGCCGCGACATCATAAGATCCACCCAGGTATGTTTCTTTTTCCCTCATTCTACTTGATCATTAAAGTCACTAGACACTAGTACCATACCAGAAGGCCTAATATTTTGGCAGAGTTTTAAAAGATTTCTGTGAAACTCATCTTGTACCTCGACGGCGAGTGTTCCTATCTTTCCGAATCCCTACTGTCCCGTTTACTCGGACAGCTCATGAGCGGCTATCTACTGGGCTCCAGTCTAGGGGAGCTAGTTCTGCCCTATGACTCGGGGCTATACCTGCAACTGACCGCCTCACTTATCTCGGGTGTGTCATCAGTGCTGATTGCCTGGTGACAGTCGAAATTTCAGCACGGATACAACGGGCCCGACTGGCCTTCGCCAACTCTTCTATCCACAAATGAGAAATATTTGCGTTTCGGAGATGCAGCATGCATCGATGATACGAGATTCCAGAGTCTTAGTTAATGAAGCCTGTTGACCTATTTGACACAAGGTTTGAACAATTAAATCTCCAACATATAGTTTAGAGCGGTATTTCAGGAGACCAGGAATAACGTTTCGTTAACTCGAATCGTTTGCATTAGCGGTGCAGGATGATAAAGTACTGTGAGAAGGTTTCGTCGTGTAGATAACAGAGGTGTTAGGTGTGTAGGAAGGATTTGATTGTGACTGAGTTGGTCTCGTGTGGCGTTACGGGTATGAGGGCGGACGTCACTTCTCGGCTGTCCACATCGTGGAAGGGTGTTTCTTGAGGGACCTGAAAAGGAAGGTAGATTAGTGTTAGTCTCAGAGACCTGGGAGCGTGACCACACACCCCAAGGGACAACTGCTTGAGGCCGGTCACGCACGTCCTTTTTATGAGAAGCTTGTAAAGTGTTAGCTCCGGTGTTGTTTAGAAGGCGTAGCCGCCGGAGACGGAAATCAGTGAGATAAGGTGGGTCGTGAAATTTTTAGGGTCGACGTTTTCTAACTCCTTCCTTCGTCCTGAGAAGGTAGCATCGCAGCGGATGATGCTGGTTGTCCGAAGGAAACACCTTACTGCTGTCTCACTCCTCTACAGTGGACAGAGCCACTTCGTCCTCAGACCTTGAGTTTCTGCCTTTAGTCTCACCGTTCTCCAACCAACCAGCCTGGCACGGTAGAGCCTACAGGAATATGTGTTCCAGCCAATCTAGCTCGGTTGGGTCATCACGTTAGGCAACCTCGACCATCAAGTCAAGGTTGCAAGTACGGCTAGGAATATTGAATAATATCCAGTGTAAAGGAACCGTGAGCACGGCGTTCGAGCTTATGTCCCACAAGATATCCGATTGTAGATTGCTCTTATGCATTGGGCCCAAATAGAAAGTTTGAATCTTCCGACACTCACTTAAATATATCAAGTGGATCTTTATCAGTTGAGGTGGTTACGACATTTGTTACGAATGCCCAACCACCGACTGCCTCGTGGAGCTGTTTTGCTTTGTAGAACTGGGTTGGAGGAAAGCTAGGGGCGGCCAAACCAAAACATGGCAGAAATCCATGAAGTCACTGACAAGTGGACTGAATCATGTTGGTAAGTGTAAACTACTTGGTTGGGGTGCGCGAGATGATAGTAATCGATGGTTCGAGATCCTGAATGGCTTTGCTCAAAACCGTTTGCAACGGTGCAGGTGCATCCATTCTTTGTGTTCTCTCCAATCCTAATCTTCTGAATTCCTCTTGACCGTTTTATTCTCATTTTTTATCGATTTCTCTGAGGCATACTTATCGGATGATATATTTGATCATTATTCTTTTTGAATACTGCTAATACTTCTATTACTATGGTACTTGAAATGATAATAACATCTCTGTGCCAATGGAGTACGGCAACTTGAACTGATGTTCGTACGTACGAAGTTCTACGTTGATTGACTGACCCACTTCTCTCAAACCAAAAAATTCTTGTATCATATGCACACATTTCATATTGCATTCGACTAATATCTTTGATTTCCTTGAGCATTTTATTATCTTATTCTATCGTTAGTTCAACTTTTGGCATAGATACGGCTTAGTTTAGCCCCTTGATAACATTTCCTGATATGTAAAACCCTAACTTTTTCCGATTACACAATTACACGCCACCCCTTAAATTACCAGTTCCAGCCGTAATTAATGAATCTTTCAAACGTGCCAAAAGAACTATCTCATTTGAACGTGTTCTTAAGATGTGCTTCGGACCATTCTGCAAAAGATCCCGCGATCACATACTACTGTAAGTTTTTCAATCAGTCTCAATACACGATTTTTCAGGTCTGTTGCATGCAATTCAAAAAGGTTTAAGTGTGAGTCAAAAATCACCCCCTACCAAAGCATTTTTGACATCTCTCATGGATGAATTAGAGAAACTAAAGAAGAATCATTCAGATCGTGGTGAAATTATGGATGAAGCAGTTGGGATTCCTTATGTTCAAGAATATGCTCTCAAACTGTTTAATTCTGCTTACCAGAGGGATGTGAATTCCGACTTTAGACCGTATGTATGGTACAGTCTGTTAACATGATTAAGTGATACTGTGAAGCTGTTTCTGTCAGCTGCTACGCTCTTAGATGTCGTTTCTGGAGTTGGAGAAGTGGGTGATGATGTGAGCTATCATTTACTTATCGAGTGACATACTTTTTTTAATGATAGATTGAAAAAGTTAGAAAGTATGCCAAATGGAAAGCCGTTTACATCAGTAAATGCTTAAAATCTGGCGAAGTTCCAGTAGCTGGTCCTATTCCTAACACTGAGGCTGCTTACGATCTAAGTACGTTATTTTTTGTATGTTTAAAAATTGAATAACTCTCCTAGTACTTTGTTATAAATTAGCAGATTTTCTCGATTTCTTGCAATAGAACATTATTTAATATCTGTTTACTTATCGTGTTTCAACCCTAGTAGTTGCATATGTCAAGTATAAATCATACTCTGTCGTTGGTGCAAATACCAAATCGCTACTTTATAACTTGCCTCTATAACCTTATTTGTGGTGTGTACAAATTGTTATTATTAGTTTTCAGTTTTCTAATTCAAACCAACTGATTTTTTTTTGAGGGATTCGGTTCTTTTGTCAGTCCAGCAATGTTTTTCGATATTATATTGCAGTGGCATGTATGGGGATATGCCTTTGACTTCGATACGTAGTATCGTGAATTTTCCTCGCTCTGCAAGTCACTTAAATGCTTCAAATAAATTTGGTTTACAAACCAGTGCATATTTCACACTATATGGCAAAATTTCCCAATTCTTTAGATATAGTTCCAAAAACTTGCACATCCTATGTTTTTTAGTCAATCAGCTAGAACTTATAACTTGGTACGCACGTATATCGTTTCCAGTTGCTGTACCACAAGCTCAGAGATAAAATTTTCAGTTCACATCCCATGGTGGTAGAGGTAGTCGGTGGACGAATTTACGCGACACATGTCCCAACCACCTCAACTGATGAAGACTCACCGCTTCACCAATCGATCTGCTATCCTTCCCTAGTACCATCTTCCTAACTCGAGCATCGCTTACTCGATAGTTGTGGTGGTGTTTCGTTCTCTGAGCTAGATGTTTTGGTTGTGGAGCTTTCATTGTTCTCCTGAACAACATAATCAGCACAAACTTCAGATTGAAGTGAAGTTTCCGAATTTCTCCACATTTGACCTGTAGCTTGTTCTTCTAACCTCGATCTTGATTGGTTGCTGTTGACCTTAAACCTGTCGTTGTTTCCACCTTTGTTTTGATTGTATCCCCCTTTTGACCTGTTTGTTGATCCTATTTCACCCATTATTTTTCTTATTGGTTGGTAAATTAGGTCAATGTTGATGTGTTTGTTGATTGCTGATTGACCTGAGTGCCAAGCTTCTAAAAATTCCCAAGTGTTCTTTTTCCTCCCCCTATCCAGTATTTCCACGTTGTTCCAATCGAATATATGTCCATCATCGTCGGTGTGTATTGATATAGGTTAAGAGTTGTCGTGGCATTTGACTGCTAATTAGTGATCGCGCAAACGAAGCTGAAGAGGTCGTCCACTTTGTCCTATGTAGTGTTTTCGTGTGTTAGTTCTGGTGATTAGTACATCCAGGAATGATAGACTTGTTTGGTTCCTTTTCCATCGTGAATTTGATGTCATCGAAGACGTTGTTGATCTGATTGTAGATCTTCTCCAGCTCGTTCCTTTTGATAATGACAAATGTGTGATCTACATAGCGAACCCACATTTTTGGCTTGATCACTGGTAAAATCGACGCTTCTAGTCTCTGCATTACAGCTCCCGCGATGAGTCCTGATATTGGTGACCCCATTGGAGTTCCTTTTGCTTGTTCGTAGACTCTGTTGTTGAGTTGAAAATACGTTGTTAAGCATAGATCGATGAGTTCAAGCTGATAAAAAGGGGGATACAATCAAAACAAAGGTGGAAACAACGACAGGTTTAAAGTCAACAGCAACCAATCAAGATCGAGCTTAGAAGAACAAGCTACAGGTCAAACGTGGAGAAATCCGAATGCCTTATTTGATAATCTCGGCGTATACAGGCAATGGTTTAAGGACACCTATAACAGAGCAGACTGATGCGCAGTAGACTCGTCTTTTGGTTAGCAGTCGGACATCATGCGTACGCCATATGTAATGCAATTCGTCACAGGCCAATCAACCCTTGATATGAAGTAGAACGTGTATTCTACAAGCATCCTCTAGATGCTAAGGATCCCGGACCAAGGATCCGAGTCATAAACCGTTACAGACAATGCGTATTGATACAGTTAGGTCGAATAGATAACAACATTGAAGTATGTGACATTGTTAGTTAGGACGACCAATATGGATAGACCAGACAGACAGACACAACGAAGAACATCGTACGTAAGTATATGAGCTCATGTTGCCATACCACATCAACACAGAGACGCAACTGTCAGTTAAATTCCAAGCGTGATAGCGATAGTAGAAGTATTGGCAGTAATCGAGAATGTTAGGGAGAGAAGATATAATTCGAAAAGTATAATTCAGTGAGATAAATTTAGAAGGAGAAAGATGGTGATTATGAGGAATTCAGAAGTTAGAATTAGAGAGAACACAAAGAGTGAATGCACCTGTGCCATTGCAAACGATTCTGAGCCATGTCGTTCAAGGTCTCTAACCATTGGTGAATTCCGTCTCGCGGACCCCAACCAGATAGCCTACACCTACCAACATGACTCAGTTCACTTGTCAGTAACTTCATGGATTTCTGCCATGTTTTGGTTTGGCCGCCCCTAACTTTCTTACGACCTACTCCTACATCACAAAACATAGCTCGTCGCGGCAGTCGGTGGTTAGGCATACGTAACACATGTCTCAACCACCTCAATTGTTAAAGTTTCACTACTTCATCAATCGATTTGCCATCCCTACCTAGAACTCGTTTCCTAACGATAGCATTGCTTTCTCGGTCGTCCCAGGATACACGAGCGGTGCTTCGGAGACACCGATGATCGAAGACTAGTAACCTACAAATGTCCTCTACCCTTAACGGCCAAGTCTCGCATCCGTATAGTAGGCCGGAACGAACTACTGCACAGTACACTCGTTCTTTGGTTAGCAAACGGATATCTCGCCTGCACCATAAGTGACGCAGGTTTTCAAAAGCTAATCGAGCCTTCTGTATCCGAGCTGAGATTTCGTCAGTCACCAGGCCATCGACATTGAAGAGACTCCCCAGATAAGTGAAGCGATCAACACGCTCGACTACTTAACTCCCTATCACTAGTTGAGGTGCATATACAAGCCAATCTTGAAGCAACATTTTGCATCGGTATCGGGATGGGCTGTATCCTCAAAAGGGCCCCAAGTAGTGTTTACCTGATACATATTTTATATCAGTAGTTTGTGTTTAGTTGTAATATATTTAACGATCGTGCACAGACGTTTATATCATTTCAGACAATGTTATTGCATACATATTCAAATATGATTTTCATCACTGACTGACGTTGATTGGAAGAATTTCAGAAACAGGGCAACACTGAACAATGGATTTTCTTAGTTTAGAACTCAGTAATATACAACCATAATCCTACACTTAATTTCGAGCGCAGCTACTACCTTTACGTGGTGGTCGGGCTTGCCTATCGTGATGACCCAACCGAGATATATTGGCTGGGACATATGTTCCTGCAGATTCTACCATGCCAGGCAGGTCGATTGGAGAAGAGAGATGAGACTAAAAGCTGCTACTGAAGATCTGAGGTCGAAGTCGTACTGCTGACTGCGGAGGGATGTGACAGCAGTAAGGTGTTTACCTCTGACAAACAGCACCTGCAGCGATACTGCCTTCTCACATGGGAGGTACGGGTTAGAAAATTTAGAGCCTAAAAATGTCACACCTCACCCTACCTCACGGATTTCCGCTTCCGGCGGTAGGGGTGCCCACTAAGGGCTTTTAAGAGTGGAGCTAATACTCAAAAAACCTTTCCTAGAAAGGCCGTGCGTGACCGGCCTCAAGTAGTTGTCCCTTGGGGTGTGCGGTCACGCTCCCAGGTCTCTTAGACCGACACTTATCTGCCTTCCTTCTCAGGTTCCTCAAGAAACATCCTTCCACGATGTGGGCAGCCGGGAAGTGACATCCGCCCTTATGCCCATGAAAGCACACGAGACCAGTTTGGTCACAAACAAATCCTTTCTACACCCCTTAACATGCTCCTTATTTTCACTACTATCTCCTCCCCTGCCCCTCTGCTACAAACGATTCGAGTTCCCGAACCTTTATTCCTGGTCTCCTGAGACCTCGTTTTAAACTGCATGTTGCAGCATTTAATGTCCGGACAATGTGTTGAATAGGACAACAGGCCTCCTTAGCTATGACATTAGAATCTCGCACCATCGATTTATGCTGCGTCTCGGAAACGCGCATACAGGATTCGAGTAATATCATCAATTCGACCTCACCATTTCAAGAAAAAGAAGCAACTCGATTTAACCTTCGTGTATCTGGAAGTCCTAATGCTGCCTCCCGGGGTCTCGCTGGTGTATATATAGCATTGAGTCTTACGGCAGAACTAGCTATCCTAGACTGGATCTCAGTAAATAGTCGCTTGTGCGCTGTCCGACTTAACGGGACGGGACGGACTCTGAAAGATAGGGAAACTCACCCTTGCCTTTTCATCGTATCTGCCTACGCCCCCACTGACTGCAGTTTAGACGATGTGAAAGATGAATTCTACAGAGAGCTTTCGGACCTCCTCCAAAATGTTAAGCACTCTGATATATTAATAATAGCTGTTGACTTTAATGCTCAAGTAGAAAGACTAAGTGAGAGGGAAAGGCACCTGAGTGGATCCTATGGTGTCGCGGCTCACTAAACAGACAGTGGCGACCGTCTGTTGCAACTATGTTTAGATAACCGCCTATTTCTAGCAAACAAAAACTTTAGGCATAAGGAAAGACATCTCTTGACATGACGAGCCGCAAAGTCGTCCCAACGGTGGACCCAAATAGATCATATTGCCATCATCCATCGATGGAGAGGTTCGATAGAGGACTGACGCTGCTTGGTTTTTGTTTGGTTCCAGTTCATCCTGGGGATTTCCTAACAATCTATAGGAATCTAGCAATGATCATTTACGACAATAGTATTATTATTACCAACATGTTTCATAACTCATCTATCTATCAAGAGTAGTAACGACTTCACTAACGAGGCTTAACTTGTGTCAATAGTAAATTGAAGTGGTGTATATTTATTACAGATCAATTATTAAAATACAAACTGTTTCTGAAAATGGTCAGTACAATGTGACATGGTTGAAAGTAAGACTGAAAGCAAAAATACTACTGGGACAATTTTTTGTTAGTTTTGACATACTGGTATGTAACTTTCATTGTGAATAATTATACTATTTTCTTGGCTCCTATTTGAGAAATTGAGTGGTGGTGATATCTTAAGGTTTCACAAAATTCTGTCTGACCAGTGCTCTTAGTTTTGTGTCATTTCCTGTAAATTTTCATTTAAAATCAATTTTGCTTGTGTAGATATTTCTGGATTAACAAATACAAATAATCTCAGTAACGCGACTAATCCTGAACCTAATGAAGTTCCTGCCGCCTGCACCTCTGAACAACCACCACCTAGTTGTGATCCATCTCCATCTGATCAGAATATTACTACAAAGCAGTGGGTGGACGCCGAAAAAAAAATCCGATTTGCACTAACTGCATCAAATTATCAGGATAGAGAAACAACTGTGAAACACCTGATTGAAGCCTTAAAATTACTGGGAGTTGATGTCTAAATTTTGAGGTGGCGTTTTAACTGTTACTTTGAAGTGCAAAAATGTATTTTACACTTATTATAACATTGTCTTTTTTACGTGATTGTTTTTGAGAATTTATTCATTGCCGGGATTTTAATAAAGTAAGCTAAATATGGTAGCTGCAAGAACATGTGTCGTTCTTATCTTACTTGAATTTGATTTTTAAGACGAGAATCCATCAAATGTTTAATTCTATGGGTTTTAATTGGTTGAAGCTTTTTTTCGAGATTAACTATCACATGATAAGTAGGCATCTTTTCGGTCTTTATTAATCCTATGATTTCTTCATGGGATTGAGTTCAGTAACTGCCCACATAAATACCTTGAGAATATAAGAAAACGTTTCCCACAACTCTAAACTTTTAAAGATTTTTCATCCTTGGTACATAAAATTTACGAATCTTTAGGGCTGTTACGTGCTCGAAATGACAGTAACGAGGAGATTTACGCTCTCAAAAGTATCTCTGAAACAAAGTCTTGAAGCACATCAGCGATTCGATGCAGTACAAACTAGATGACACTGTAACATTGCAGTTTTACAGATTGTTAGTGCATTTCTAAAATAATAACTTTCTCTGCGTAACCAAAAGATACATGGAACGTGGCAGTGTGAAGAATTCGACCCTTTTATTCTCGGCAGGTTTTTAGAATTCTGTACCTTAATAACGTATTCAAGATGGATAGATGACACATTCTGAGCATGTTTTCTTTTAGTTTACCCATTTACATCAATTTGATAATACCAGTGCTGTCATGTAGTCTGGTAATGTATTGTAAATAGTTGATTCCGTTGTGTATACTGATTCTCGAGCAAGAACAACCCATGGCTAGTATTTTTGATGACGCTGAAAAATGTAATAACTCACAATCAGAAGCTTTTTAAATCTAATAGAATCTTGGAAGTTCATCATCAATTCAGCCAAAAATTTCCAAACTATTCAATACCAGAATAATAACACCACCGTATGGTACAGCTTTTAGTGCAGTCGTTCACACAATCAGATATTAGAATAAATATCGTGCAAGCAAAATGGAGAACGCGAGCTCAGAAAAATAACCTTTGTTCGCTCGTTGCGAATAAAAAATAGTAGAGCGATATAAGTTATACATCTCAGCAAATTACACGAAATTTCAACCGTAAACAAATCTAACAAATAAAAATATCTTACTCTTTAGCTTGTTTGAGGATAAAGATGATTTGATGTAGTGGAAACGATGTCATCATTATGTTACACTTTACTCCTTATCCATCAAGCTCTTAGTTCAACGAATTTGTTAGCCCTATGTGAAGAAGTATTTCAAGTAGTGTGTATAATCATGTTGACATTACAAAACATATGTGAAAAGTAGACGTAACAACTATCTCATAGATTTCTTTCCATCACGTCTCAAACACGTTTGTTTTTGTTTGATATGATCCTCGATAGAATCTAATGAGTATTGCTTTCTCATAATGAGTATTATTCATTTCACATGATGAGTCTCACTACCGTTTCAGGGGAAAAGTGATGGACTTCTACTTGTCAAACGATAGACCGAAAATCAGGAGTACTGGTTTTAATGCCAGTTATTTTGAGCCAATACAAGCTAAAACTGGACCTTATTTGCATAAACCACTGTTAATCACACCGATATTTAGTAGGATGCACAAACCACTGTCGGAGAGAAATTCATCAATGTGACTCTTGGACTGGTTTATCTTTTTACCGTAACTGAGGTGTTCAACAAACTTAAATAGAGAATGACCAAAAATTTCTGACGTAAGTTTGTGTAACCTTCGGATTCGATCGAATGTTCCCCTTATTGCGCAGGTTGTGAGGTGACACAATAGAGTAAGAAGGAATGGATTCTGAAGAGGGTTAATCAAGACAAATTTTAATTTAATGCGTCTGATCTGAAGAGGTTCTAACTTTAGTACTAATCCTCACTACAGAAACACTCCAGAAGAGCTATGGTGAATCTTCTCTAAATGCTTTCATTTTCCACCTAATCAGAACTAACGATTTTCGAGCTGGATACCTTAATGCCACTTAATTTGAGGTTGTAAAACCAACAGTCAAAGTTGGGTCAAAACCCGACCCGATCGTTCAATAAGCGAACCACAACTTCAACAAAACAGAGATTATAAATGATTACGAGAATCTCTTGAGTAAAGTTAGTGGAAACAGTCCATAAACCTTTGGCGAGATGAGTGAAGTAAAGGATAGGTATGAACTCTGTTGTTACAAAACTGTTCATATTGTTCCTCTATGTTTCAGTGCAGTTAGGCGGACGGAATCGTGGAACAGGTTACCAGGAGTTGTTGTAAACTCAGTCCATAATATAAACATCGAAATGTAAATGAAACAGTTCGTGCAATTATGACTAATTCGATCATGGTGACTGTATTACTCAAGTAGGTAGACGTAGGAAAGACACCGCAAGGAAACCTCTTGGGGCTCTACTTAATGATAATAAAGCGAAGAATACGTTTCAGGAACAACTAGGAAACAGTTAGACAGCCATGTAGTAAGTGATGCCCACCATGAGGCAGCTTGCAGTGATATCAAAATGGCTGTGGGAACAGGATTGATATCTGCTAGTAGGGTAAGCCATAAGGTTAGGGAGAAGCCGTGGAACTCAGTAGCCTTTACCGAACTGATGGATGCTGGAAAGCTCATCTCTCCTGGCTCTGAGTACGATGAGGACCGGAGTAAGCTCAGGCGCAGGCTGATAAAAAGCCGACACAGTGATCGAGAACAGTGGTGGTTGGTGAAAGCAAGACAAATGGAAAAGGCAGCGGCGATGGGCAACAGTAGACAACTATTCAGACTCATCAAGGAAGCCGGTATTAGAAACCCGAACTTGAGTGAAACTATGTCGGAAAAGGATGGTTGTATCATTCATTCCGAATCCAGGAGATTGGATCGACGGGCAGAACACTTTATGGATCAGTTCAACTGACCTTCAGCCACACTTCTGTTGCCCATGATCTCCAGTCATCCTGAATGGCAAATCGATTTAAGTCGTCCTAGTCTTTATGAAGTTGAGAAAGTGAAAGGAAATCTAAAGTGAGTGAGAGCAGCAGGACCTAATAGGCTACCTCTTTAGAATTTTAAGGATGGTGGTCCAGTTTTAACAATTAGATTGACCAAGATGTTAGGTAGAATCTGGGAAGTGTACGTAATACCATCCGACTGGTCTCAATCACTGATTGTCCCAGTCTATAAGAAAGGACAAAAGTCTTATTGTGAAGATCACAGGGGAATCAGTTTCTTAATTGTTAGCCTCGATAATCCTTAGACGCCTAACAAGGGCTCATGAAGAGGAGACTAGAGAAAACCAAGCTGGTTTTCGATCTGGACGTGGCCTTATAGACCACATCTCACTACTACAGGTGCTGGAACACAGACACACACTTAGGCGTCCGACAATAGTTGCGTTCCTGGACCTAAAGGCGGCATTCGACTCAGTGGATCGTGAGGTTCTGTGGCAGTGTCAGTCATTAAAAGGTGTACCGAAGAAGTTCATTAACCTCATACAAACTTTCTACTCGAACACTACTGGTCGAGTGAGAGCTTATGGCAAACTGTCACCGGAATTCTTTACTTCAAGTGGTGTCCATCAGGGATGTCCACTCTCCCCATTCTTGTTCAATTTTGTCATAGACATGCTGCTAGATATAACATTATATTCGTCCGACCTTTCAGCAGTAGACCTTTAACCAGGAGGCTCGCTTATTGACTTAAAATATGCCGATGACATAGTTCTATTCGGTGAAGATGCTGACAAAATGCAGAGTCTTCTGACTACTCTAAGCAACAATGCAAGCATGTTCGAGATGCGGTTCTCACACTTGAAATGCAAAATGTTGCTTCAAGACAGGGTTTCATCGGTACCTGAACTAGTGATTGGGAGTGAAGTAGTCGAGCGTGTTGACCGCTTCACTTATCTGGGGAGTCTCATCAGTGCTGATGGCCTGGTGACTGACGAAATCTCAGCTCGGATACAGAAAGCTCGATTGGATTTTGCCGAGTTGCGTCACTTATGGTGCAGGCGAGATATCCGTTTGCTAACCAAAGAACGAGTGTACTGTGCAGTAGTTCGCTCAGACTTACTATACGGATGCGAAACATGGCCGTTAAGAGTAGAGGACATTCGTGGATTGTTTGTCTTCGATCAAAGGTGTCCTCAAAGCATTGCTCGTGTATCCTGGGACAACCAAAAAAGCAATTCTGTCATTAGGAACCGAGTACTAGTTAAGGATGACAGATCAATAGATGAAGTAGTGAAGCTTCATCATTTGAGGTAGTTGGGACATGTGTTACGAATGCCCAACCACCGACTGCCTCGACGAGCTATGTTTTGTGGTGTAGGAATAGGTTGTAAGAAAGTTAGGGGCGGCCAAAGCAAAACATGGCAGAAATCCATGAAGTCACTGACAAGTGGACTGAGTCATGTTGGTAGGTGAATGTTTTCTGGTTTGGGTCCTCGAGATGATAGTAACCGATGTTTAGAGACCTTGAATGACATGGCTCGACCGTGTCTCTGTAAAAATGAAAAGTAATGAGTGAAAGTTGTCGGATGCTACAGTTAAAACCCTCACTAATATTTGTAAAGTAAACCATGTTTTTTCTAGTAAAATGGGTTTGTAGTAATTCGAATAGTTTTTTATCCAATTAAGGAAAATGTATGTGATAAATAATTATTTTTTTTAAAAGCTTTTGTCATAAATTAAGCTTATTTGATCTCATCACAAAATTGTGTAAATCTTGTGAGAATTACTTTCAGATTATCCACTGAAATAACATTTGGATTCTTATGATTAATTAGTTTCTTCTGGTAAATCCTGAGTTCCTCAGTCTTAATTAGATAATGTCTACCAGCATGTATTGTACGTCGACCTGATTTCGGTCATTTTTTCACATCCATTCTCCAGGTTCAAAGCACAAAATTATTTGCACCGTTCATCATCCCTGTTTACACTACTTGAAAATAAATTTAATAACATACTCTTTACGCTTTGGTATCATTAACCATCGTATTTGTCACGTGATATTAGTCAATTACCAATCAGAACTGCACTTTAGTACCAATAACCTTGAGTCCTTATCGGTCCACCACTCGATAACGTTTTTTTCTACTGAGCCTCGTTAGTCCAGAAGTCCGTAACCAACCTCTATAAAATCTTCATATTTAAAACAGCCTTAGTTGACATACCAGATAATCCTACCATAGAAAAAAAGATACATGTATACGTAAGCAAGCCAAAGGTGGCTGTGGATGGTAATGCGCAAGAGATTAAGAATAGTAAAGCGTAAGAAATTAGATGATGAGTCAATCAACAGCTTATCGCAAATATATATATATATATATATATATATATATATATATATATATATATATGTATATATATAGTTATCTAGTTATTTAATAACTTTACATCGAGAATATCCATACTGATAATCTACAAGTTAGTCTTAGGAATTACCGTTTCCCTAATCTGCCTACGGATATAGCAGTTTTTTCTTTGAACATCATTGTTTCTGAACCACCAATTAAATGTACAAGGTTACGAGTACATTTGTTAGCGACTAACAATCGAATGGTTATTATAATCGGTTGATATCTCCTTCTGTTTACTCCTTAATGCTAGGTGACATTAATTTTCTTGTGTGTACTGCATCGAATCGCTGATGCGCTTTAAGTAGATTATGTGAAATTTTCTTAAAAACCAAGTGACCTGTTTAAAAATTCATCCGTTTGCAAAATAATATTTAATAAATTCACGTTTCTATAATTATGTTGTCACATTAATTATTTAGCTCCAAACAATAGTTCAAAACTTAAGTAAATCATTGAAAAATTTATCATTGTTGAATAAAACTAAACAAGTATGGAGGTATGGATTTTTTTAATAGAACGTTGCTTCCTAGCAACCTTGTGAATTGCACAGTTGTATTTTCTGGTTGTGTGTGACATATATATATATATATATATATATATATATATATATATATATATATATATATGAAAATTAGAGTACACTCATATGAAGTTATCATTTTTAATATCAAGAATCAGTACACAACTGGGACTACAATTAACCAATCATTTGGTTTTGAGCAGAAGAATAACAAATTTGAATGACCTTGGATATAGTTAAAATAATGGAAGGCCTACACTGTTTTTATGTTTGCGAGTGTAATTTACGGCCGGTGGATCAACAATTTCAATTGGAAAATCATACTAATTTCATCCATTTACTGTGAATTGTATACTCACGTTTGTAAAAGTCATAACTTACGGTATTTCTGTTTGAATATGAAAAGGAACATATAAAATCCATGGACTTAAATAAACGAAAATACCTTATAACAGACGTTTCTATTCACAAATCTGTTCATTGATAAACTTTAACAAATGATGGACAGAAATAAAGACGAGCTAAAGCAAATTTCCTCACACGTAAATATAGACAACAATAAATTGTCATCAAATGGTTCACTGAAATCTCACGATATACCTTCATTATTATCGCATATGTATATTGATCAGAAGATTAATTCATTGAACAATAAATTTAATTATTTGAAGCCATATTTATCGAAAGGTTCAAAAGGATCGTTGCCTTACACACTTAATATACCCGAGTCAATACCAGAGGTTCCAGTTTCACCACGTCGTCATTCTGTATCATTTAATCTAGTTGACAGTCATACAGAAAATTCTCCGCATCATCGACGTTCAAGTTCATCTCTACTGGATAATATCATTGTTGAACCTGTTGAATTTGAAAGATGTTTATCTCCTTTGAGGGCATGCGATTTAGCTGCACCATGCAGTGATACATTCGAAGAAGTTCTGAAAACACTTGAAAAAGACAACCGTGATGATCGTTACAGCAATGATGAATTTATAGGTTAAGAAAGAATCTATAGTCTAATCCTGCACCTAATTTATATCCATTTTTTGTATATATAACGTTATATGAAAAAGTACTTGATCAAAATTATAGATGAATGGAGTTTATCTATGGCTACCAATACTTTTTCATTCTTAACTATCTTTTGTAGTCAGTAATTATATTTATGAAATGCTGACAATAACTTTTGTCAAGTCAAGAAGTTTGTGTCTCAATTCACATGTGTTTTCTACCTCATTACTAATTGATTCAACATTTGATAAAACTTAAGAAATTCATTTGTAAAATCTTATCAGAATTGCGAGCAACAGTAAAACATTGTTATGGCATACTGTACGCACAAGTTCATGTTGATTAAATTTTGAAATTAGGTAAGATTGTATACACTTATGAAAATTCAACAATATGTTGTTTACACTAAATGCTTCACATAACAGATAACATAAAGAGATAGATAATAAGTATGCATAATTGTATTCATTTTCTAAATCAAACAATCGGCCGGAATGAATGCAAACCGTACGGTCGAAACTGGTCATAATTACTGGATTTTTGCCGTGATAACACTAAAAAAATTTTCCTATTACGTAAACTACTGTGTCTGTTTTAAGAGAACGTAGAAGACCTGAACCCAAGTGGTCAAATGATATCTTTCTACAAGGTGACAGGTGTTTTTTTATTCATGTATGGATATTGGGCTGGTAAATCGTTAAACAAGCTTTTGCATTGTAGATATACAGTGTCCTTTAAAGTCTGTATCACATGAGGTTTCTAGATATCAGTGACTGAAATATATGAAGTTTTAAGTAAAATATCAAATTATTAAAGTAATATCAAATGTATTAGCTATTCAAACTGAAGGAAATTTTTTATACTGAATTAATGTTTTCAAGGCCCGAAAGAAAAATAACAACTTTTACATGTGTACATAACAACAGTCATTATACTGCCTCAGTTATTTGAACATCAATGTTTTATGTAAACTTGAAATATCACAGCGGTCCTTATAACGTGTTTTCGTGATTTCTTTCCGGTTTCCCACAAAATCTTGAAAAATATTGCTTACTTTATATAAATGCAGAATCTCTATTATGAAAACATAATTCTGATTGCAATTAGCAATACCGATCAACAATTGTATATCAAAAGGTGACAAGATGTTATTTTACTCACACATGGAAAACAACTAGTTTCTTATGTTAATCTATTTAGTCAATTTTTAAATTTAGTTATAGTCTACTTATTTTCATGTTCATCTTTTGGTAATAAATTTGGAATTCATTCGCCTGCCAATGTTACATTTTCGTAGGTAGTAATTCAGTTCAAAATTAAAACAGATATTCGATTCCTATCAAGAGGTTTTCTGCACTATAATAATCAACAGATTATAAAGGATATGCAAGATCGGGTAAAACCAAACAAATTCAAATTCAAAGCTCAAATCTTTTAACACGACTCCAAAACGAATTTAAAAGAAAAATGATGAAAACTGTTATGAAACGAATTCGTTGACTTGCTAACTTCATGACAAATGCTTCTATGGAGAGAAAGCTGGTTGTTAAAACTGAATTACAAAGTTTTAACTGGATTAGAATCAAAGGCATAATGTTGTACTTTTTCGACATTCTATACTTGAATTATAGTCATTGTTAATACTAAAAATCTATGACAAATAATCATATTTTGTTTGTAATCTTCCTTCATAAATTATTTATCAGTTTGTACATTCTGAAATCACAGTTATTGTCAAAGGTAAATTAGTAGAATTAATAGTTGAGTAACGTGAGGCTTTGAAAAATAAATTTTACCTTAACACATCGTTAACATACACGAAAGCTGAAAAAAAACTAATCATATAATCTCAGTTGATCCAATTTTTACAGTTTTTTTGAGTACAGTACAAAAATTTTCCGTTACAGACAAAGTAAAAAGGCCTACAGTTTTCACGAAATGTTATAATAAACAATTTTTTTAATGAAGTAACTTTTGTTAAAATTGTAACCAACATTCACCTGAATAAGTGGTTTTTCAATAAATAAACATAAATACACTTAATACTTAACCCAACATACAGTTAATGGTTTCAAAATGCCGAATTGTAATTGATACATTTATTTGCTAAAATTAAAACTTTTACTAAGAATGGAAATCAGTCATGCAAAGTAGCTTTGCCAAATAAACTGGTTACTTCGTGTTCAGTACTTATTGTTACTCTCTAAGCAACTTCAGTGTGTTTGAAACGTTCTGAGCTGATAAAACGAATTATTTATTTCGAAATGGATTAACATTCGATTCTTACTGACTCATAAATCTTCAGTCTCAGAATTCCGTTGTTTTAGTCAGTAAACAGCTAAGACGTCGTTTCATGGTCCAATTACAATATCAGTATTTCTCAATCTGTCTTCCTAGTGACTGAAATGTTATCGAAATTACGGACTGACATAAATAATGACATGAATAAATGGGCCAGTGAAGAAGGGGGTACTATGAAAAGAAGGCAAGCTAATAAAGATGATCATTTAAAGCGGCAATTACATTTTTAATTGTGTAAAGTATGTTTGATTTACTCTCTATCCTTTTACCTTACGATTAAACAAAGACGCAGTTTTCTAAACGTTTAATAAATATTCTACTTTCAACAAATACTGTAGTTTTTCGAGTTCGGTAACAAATTCTAATTAACGTAATCGTTTTATATCGTACATCTATTTCGAACGCCCAGGATATAATCTGTTAAAAGGCATGTTTATGTGTTTGATTCCCAACAGTTGAATGATCTATTGAACAATTTTAAGTGATCGAAAATGTAAAAGTCATAAACCTAATTAGGATATTTTCAGTGAAAATGTAATGTGTGAAATTAATTTTTTGAAATAAAATTGTTGATTAGAGTTCAAAATAAAACAGTTGTAAATAATATTGTGAATATGAAATAATCTAATTAAATACGAATGATCCAAATTTAACTCGAAATTTAACAAAACACAAGAAAGAATTCGAATTCTTATTGTGTGATTACATCACATTTCGACGTAATGTAAAATATTTAACTATATATATATTTAACTATTTACTGATCATCTCCAAAGTCGACAAATGACATTCTAGGTTACACCTCACTGAAATGGATTCGGAATACATGAAGAGCACAGACTTTGTAGTAGTGAATGGTTATACTTTCAGAAAAGATGAAATAATTAACAACAAGAATACTTGGAGATGTGACTATGAACTGCTACCGCCTCTTCAGCGAAATCATCTGTAAGATATTGCTGTACTGTAAGTGGATTTGTAATCTGAGCTAAGCAAGTTGAAAAACTTATAGTGGACCACGATCTGACTCCATTCCGAACGAACGATTATATATGCATTTAATCTAATCCTATCTGTGTGGTGGAGGTAATGAGAAACCCAATATAGTTTTAGTTGGATGAATTTATTGCATTCACTCGCATATGAAGACAAACATATGAATGAGAGGTGTAAAAATGAAGCGAGTGAGGCGAGTTGACCAACTCCATTTAATGAAGCATGAATAACTATTAAGTCAGGCAAATATGAGCTAGACATGTATGTGATAGGCGAAGTAAGTAATGCATACGCACATGCACAAGTGTGAACAGTCAAGGTTATAAGCAAGGAATTAACAGGGTCAAGGTGGAAGAAAAGGTTAACTGGTTCGTGCAAAAGCAAGAACAAGCCATGTAGGCTCGAGTACAGTAAACACTAAAAACTGTCTCAATGTTTTTGCTAGTCATTAAACATAAATCTGAGAATGATTTTTACGTGACTAAATGGTAATCCGACTTATCTGCATACTTATTGACAATAATAATTGCACTGCATCAACCTAATGTGTTTCACCTGTTCACCTAATTAATATTAGATAAGACCTAAGTACCTAAATTATTATCACGGAAGTTAACAATCGTCAGAATAAAGGTGATTAGGTTTCTCTGCAGAGCACAAGTGACAATGTTTTCTGAAATATATTTACTGAAGGACGAAAGATAAGACCTATCGATTTTTTAAAAAAATTCCATTTTTATGCATTTAAATAAATTTTAAACCGGATGACCATTCTAGTGTGTTTAACATCTGGAATAAATATAATTAATACATTATTGAGAAGAGCTAATATTTGACCAGTAAGTCTAATCACACTAGTTATTAGGATGTTTCCTACACTTTCTCCATTCTTGTTCATTTTTGTCATAGACATGTTGCTAGATACAAAATTATATTCGTCCGACCTTTCAGCAGTAGACCTTTAACCAGGAGGCTCGCTTATCGACTTAGAATATGCCGATGACATAGTTCTATTCGGTGAAGATGCTGACAAAATGCAGAGTCTTCTGACTACTCTAAGCAACAATGCAAGCATGTTCGAGATGCGGTTCTCACACTTGAAATGCAAAATGTTGCTTCAAGACGGGGTTTCATCGGTACCTGAACTAGTGATTGGGAGTGAAGTAGTCGAGCGTGTTGACCGCTTCACTTATCTGGGGAGTCTCATCAGTGTCGATGGCCTGGTGACTGACGAAATCTCAGCTCGGATACAGAAGGCTCGATTAGCTTTTGTAAACCTGCGTCACTTATGGTGCAGGCGAGACATCCGTTTGCTGACTAATGGACGAGTGTACTATTCAGCAGTTCGCTCCGTCCTACTATACGGATGCAAAACATGGCCGTTAAGAGTAGTGGACATTCGTAGGTTACTAGTCTTAGATCGTAGGTGTATCCGAAGCATTGCTCATGTATCCTGGGACGACCGAGAAAGCAATGCTATCGTTAGGAAACGAGTTCTAGGTAGGGATGGCAAATCGATAGATGAAGTAGTGTAACTTCATCAGTTGAGGTGGTTGAGACATGTGTTACGTATGCCTAACCACCGACTGCCGCGACGAGCTATGTTTTGTGATGTAGGAATAGGTTGTAAGAAAGTTAGGGGCGGCCAAACCAAAACATGGCAGAAATCCATGAAGTCACTGACAAGTGGACT